GACTGACTGATGGTAGGGGTTTCGTCGCCTTGGAAATGACAGACTGGCTGCCCCACTGACAGGTGGTGTGGAAGCTTAAACATACTGTTGCTGTGACTATTTGCTGTGAGGGCCTAGCTGGGTGTTATTACTGATTCCTGATGTGAATGAGGAGTAATCTGAGAGAACTACAATGACCAACTGATAGTCTTACTGCCCCATGGGGCTGTATTAGATGCTGACAATGCCCAAAGGCGAGGCTGGATGCTGTAGCTTAAGAGAGAATTTCCCCAGGGAAAAATCACAGCTGGTCCAAGGGCAGGGGTAGAGGGTGAGGAGGGCTGATTGGTCGGCTGACAATGTGAAGACCGGACGGTCTGAGGGAATGACAGGCAGGCTAACAGTGCGGTCTGTCTGCCTTCAGGAAATTGCAACCGGCTCGAGGGCACAAATGGATGCTGCCATTGACTGATCAACAGTGTGAATGGGGGGAGGGTCTGACTAGACACCTGTCGGGGTGGACGACCCATTGCCTGATTTGAATCGGGTGGTTAACTGACCAGCTGGATGTGGCGCTAGTCCACCTAGGAGTCACGGCCTGCTTGGGGTTAATATGTGACGACGGACTGACTGATGGTGGTAATTGGGGGTCTGACAGGACGAAGAATCCCCCGTCTGACTGGCTGACGACGTGATTGGCTACCAGCGTGACAGACAGACCTGCGTACGGGCAGGGCCTAGGGCAAGCTCAGCCGCTGCCGCCGACGCCGCTGCCGCTGCCGCCCAGACGCACTCTGGGAAAGCGCGGCGAGCACCAGCCTCGGGGACCGAGCCAGGCGGCGGGGAGGGGTCCGGTCACGGCTCGCCGGTTGGTCCGCGCGGGCACTGCTCGCGGCGAGCTGCGGCCAATAGGCTGCGCGTTCCCGGCCACGCCCGCGCGAGCTGTCTTCTCGCGAGGCCGGCTAGGCCCGAATGTCGTTAGCCGTGGGGAAAGATGGCGGAAAATTTAAAAGGTGAAGCAGTGGCAGTAGAGACACGGGCCCGCCGGCCAGGCCGGGTGGGCTGGAGGGGTGGCGTCGTGGGCTTGGGGTCCTGGCGTCCGAGGCCACGGAGCTGGGAGCCGGAAGCCCGGCACGGAAAGGATAGGGCCCGGGGAACGCGGGCCTGGCGCGCGAGGCTGGGCGGGGCTGAGAGGAGGGGGCGCGCGCTTCGGAGCGCGGCGGGCGCGGGGCTAAGTGGGGCTGCGCGAGGGGGGCGCGCGCCGCAGATCGCGACTGGACCGTCGCGCGCACGCGCGGGGGCTTGTTGGAAGAGGATGCGCCCGCGCGCGGGAAAATTGGCCCCCGGTGACCGTTACCCGCTCGGTGTCCACGCGAGACGCCGGAAGGGGAGGGAAGAGAAGGGAGACAGACTCCCCCGTTAGAGTGGGGAGACAAGGGACTAATCAGGGGGCGGCTATCTCCTCTGAGCGTGATGGGGGAAGGGTTTGGAGTAGAGGGAAATGGGGCCTCCTTGATAAGAGAGCTGGACTCCCTCATGTGCTGGCAAAGACGGGTGACTCAGAATGTTGGGGGCTCTTCTGCATGAGGAAGGCCGAGAAGAGGATGGATTCCACAGGTGTGAGGAGGCCTCCCAGTGGTACGAAAATCCAGCGTGGTCAGTGTGAAGCCAACAGAGCAGCTGGAGATGGTGGGACCACTTTAGCGGGGTTTCAAATGCAAGTCGAGGGGCTTGAAAGGGACAGGAAAGCGTGGGCACAGACAGGCTCAGTCTCCGGTAGGCCTTTGGAGGGGGGGGGAAAGCACACGAAATAATTTTGAAAAGCTCTTGTCTTTAGGTTGACATCTAGAGTATTTATCATGAGTTTAAAGATTTTTGTAAAGGGAAGTAGAAAATAGTTAACATTTTAAAAAGATGAAATAGGATGAGTATTAGCTACACTTGGAATGTTTTGTGACGTTGATTTGATAACATGGCTTGTAAAGCACACTAAGAATGTGCCTTGAATCAAAGGAATATATATTTTTAAATCTGCGTCTTGAAATATTTTAGTAGCCCTAGAAAGATTCTAGGTATATTTAAAAGAATTGGATGTCACTAACCTATGCCTTTGCATGTTCCTGAATTCAGAGCATACCCTTTGGCTGAGCTTTATCCTTCACAGAAATGTGGATGAGACAGAAAATCAAAATACAGAGTGAAAAAAATATACTTTGTGGGTTTAAGGCACCCAAATTGATCATTCAAGGAACCTTCTTGTAGTGTAATATCATTCCACAATCTCTTATTCATAATTCTATGAAGTCCTGAAAGTGGAAATATTTTCTTAAATGTGGCACCATTCATGGTGAAAGTAGATTATAAAGTGGGGCTATTCATTGAGCCTATTTTATATCTTTACTTCTATTTAATGTGGAAAACCCATACTTTTGCTGCAGAACTATTTAATGTGTTTGATATGGCTTGATGTCCCTGACCACAGGGACAGGGTGATGTCTGGGATATCCTAGAACTATACTTGTAAAATCTAAAAAAGTTTGAATTCCAAAACACATATGGCCTAGGAGTTTCAGATAAGGGATTAAGGACCAGTCTTTCCAGTTACATCTTTGTTTGGTCCCCTGGAAGTTTTAATCACATCCCCACCACCACCCTCCCATCAGTGCAATGCACCCTACTGAGATGGGGGTTGTTCTCTTTCTTTTGCAAAATGAGGAGAAGGGTGATCTGGTTGGTCCTGAACTCAAGGTAGGTTTGCAGGCCATTTTTAGTAGTGTAGAGAGAGTTTGGAGCTCTGGGAATAGATTCCCTTATGACAGTCCATGTAGCAAAACACACTTTGAGATCTGCTGCTACAGGGGTAACCTTGGGCAGTGAGCATTGGGGGTTCAAGGAAGTGGCACATTTCTGTTGCAGCAGAGTCTCAGCATTAGGGAAGGCCTGTGAATTAAATTTCCCTGACTCTTAGGCAGTCTTTTGGATGTTCCAGGGAGGATCCTGGGTCCCCTTTGGCCTCTGGCCTGATCAGGCCACCCAGTAATAGTTCTTTCTGGCTTCCTTGTTCCAGGCTGCAATGTGTGTTGCAAGTCTTCTTGGAATCAGCTGCAGGACCTGTGCCGCCTGGCCAAGCTCTCCTGCCCTGCCCTTGGTATCTCTAAGAGGAATCTCTATGACTTTGAAGTCGAGTACCTGTGTGATTACAAGAAGATCCGCGTGAGTCTGAGATGACCAAGCCCTGGGAGGGGGGGTGGGTCTCGAGGAAATTGATTTCCAACCTTCTTGCCCCCCACTGCCCACATCTGTTTCCAAAGGGAATTTTCCACCCTAATCCCGAAAAGAACAGGATGAATAGACCCTCTTATCCCCATTTTATGGATGGGGAAACTAAGTGGCTTTTTGAGGGGAATAGGAGCCAGAATGAATCTCCAAATAAATCTGTCTTCCCACCTCCCTAGGAATGCAAAACAATTGCAAAGATTGACATGCTGAGCCCAGGAGTGGAGTTGTTGATAGCTCACAGTTATTGAGCACTTTCAGTATACAAGGCACTTACTCTCAGAAACTCATTTAATCCCCCTAACAGACACTGAAGTGGGAACAGTTATCATTGCCAGAGGAGGTAATGGCAGGAGAGTTAAGAGAACACACTGGAAAGCCAGCATGCTTGGGTTCAAATCCTGGCTGTGTAATCCCAGGCTGTTTACCCAAACTCTCAGTACTTCATTTTTCCTCATCTTTAAAATGGGGATGACTAATAGTATCTATCCCATTGCAAGTTGTGAGGATTAAATAATAATATGCATAAATTGCTTAGAACAGTTCCTGCTACATAATGAATGCTAGAAAATGTTAGCTATTTTCTTATTTTCAGATGAGGAAATTGAGGCCCAGCAGAGTTAAATAACTTGCTTAAGGCCATACAGCTAGGGAGTGGTGGATTCAGGATTTGCACCCAGGGTGTAGAGTCTGTGCTGTTAAACTCTATTCTAGAGCTGCCTCTTGGCGATTCCAGCACCCTCTGGCTGCTGTGTGAACAGCCTGCAGGGGGTGAGGTGGAGGCAGGGGCCTGTGAAGAGGCTCCTGTTGGTCCAGGCAGTGACCATGGTTTATTTGAAAGGGTTGGAGTCTGGATGCATTGAGAATGTGGGGCTGATGGGATGTACAGAGGGTGGCTGTAGGGAGTGAGCAAAAAGAGGAGTTAAGGATGACTTTAGAAGTCTGAGCTGGATAGCTAGAAGGAAGGAGCTGATGATGGGAGGACAGTGGAGGGAATGGATTTGGGAGATTAAATTAAAAGTTGGCATTTAGACAGCTAGTAAGGGGGAGAGCAGGACTCGAACCCAGTAATCCTCACTCTGGAGCCCATGCTTTTTAACCACTGCATGGAGTCATTCCAGAAAAGGGGGTAGGGGGGAATTATCTTTTGGCTTTGGGATGGAAACCCCATGAAGACTGGCCCAAGGATCGTGCCACTTATGGTGCCCCCATGCCCCTTCCCGTCCCCTAACAGGAACAGGAATATTACCTGGTAAAGTGGCGTGGATATCCAGACTCGGAGAGCACCTGGGAGCCACGGCAGAATCTCAAGTGTATACGAATTCTCAAGCAGTTCCACAAGGACTTAGAAAGGGAGCTGCTCCGGCGGCACCATCGGTCAAAGACCCCCCGGCACCTGGACCCAAGCTTGGCCAACTACCTGGTACAGAAGGCCAAACAGAGGCGGGCGCTCCGGCGCTGGGAGCAAGAGCTTAATGCCAAGCGTAGCCACCTGGGACGTATCACCGTGGAGAATGAGGTGGACCTGGACGGCCCCCCAAGGGCATTTGTGTACATCAATGAGTACCGTGTTGGTGAAGGCATCACCCTCAACCAGGTGGCTGTGGGCTGTGAGTGCCAGGACTGTCTGTGGGCACCCACTGGAGGCTGCTGCCCAGGGGCGTCATTGCACAAATTTGCCTACAATGACCAAGGCCAGGTGCGGCTTCGAGCCGGGCTGCCCATCTATGAGTGCAACTCCCGCTGCCGCTGTGGCTATGACTGCCCCAATCGCGTGGTACAGAAGGGCATCCGCTATGACCTCTGCATCTTCCGCACAGATGATGGGCGTGGCTGGGGCGTCCGCACGCTAGAGAAGATCCGCAAGAACAGCTTCGTCATGGAGTACGTGGGAGAGGTAGGGAGATGGGACCGGGTGTGTGTGTAGTTCTTCCCACTCTGTGTTTGTAGTGTGTGCACCCAACTCTCCTCACTGTGTGCCTGCCACTCCCTGCTTTCCCTGTGGGAAAGGTCTGGGGGAGAGGGGTTGATCTGACTGTCACAGGGACATGGGGCAGGGACTAGTATTCCAAGCTGGTACATTGCTGGTAGTTAAAAGAATACCGAAATACTTCTGGGCTGGGTTGACTTCATAAGGGTACCTAGCGAAGAAGAAAAGTGGGAACTGAGATCCAGGCAGCATTCCTCTTAACAGGCCATGTGGTCTGGCACAGGGTTGCGTCACCCAAAAAGGCACTTCCTCTTCTCCTTTCACAAGGGTCTGTCTTATCAGCAAACAGTGTCTGCCCTGAAGGAACATCTTTTACTAGTCTGCACAAAAGGAACACAATCAGTTTAGAATTGGATGTAGACATGCCTTGGACAGAGGCTGGTTTCCTCCTCCTGTGGACTTTCAGGACACCGGGGGAAGACCAAGTGCATTAGGCAGGCCAGCCACTGTAATAAACAACCCCCCCATCTTAGCGGCTTCACACGGGAAGTTTTTTTGCTCATAGAACAGTCTAGCGTGGGTGTTTGGGTGAGTATCCTTTCACACAACAAGTGGGACACCCAGGCTCTTTCCTTGTTGTGCCTTGGAGCATTGGAGTTGCTGTTAGAGCCTTAGCATTGCCTGGCAGGTGGGCTGAGCGGGGTCTATAAGGGGAGGTTCTAAGGGGCCAGGCCTGGATGCAACACACATCACTCTGCCCACACTCTGTTGGCTGGAACTGAGTCACTGGCCTTACCTCAATGCAAGGGAGGTGGGAGAGTGTGCTTTAGCCATATGTCTAGGTGGAAAACACAAAGGCTTTGGGTGAATATCTAATAAATGTCTGAAATAGAAAGTGTCATATTCTAAGGTGGAGTGTGGTGTAGGCATTTGGGATGAGACAATTCTTTGTTATGTGGAACTGTCTCATGCATTGTGGAATATTTAATATCCCTGGACCTTGACCATTTAAGTCCATGAGTGTGCCCTGTCATGGTGACAACCCTAGATACCTCCGTATACTTCCATAGGTTTCTTAGGAGTGTGATATGGTTGGGAAATGACAGAAACTTGCCTGAGGGACACACACTTGAGGGTATCCACATTGTAGTACTGACATTGATGATAAGGAGAAGAGCTGTACAGTAGAGAGGGTCAGACCACAGAGAGACAGAGATAGTCTCCAGGCAGAGCAATCTACGTCACAGAGGACTATGACACACCCCAGATAACCCTGATAGTCTGCTGGAGGAAATGGCCACATGCCAAAAGATCTGACAGTCTGGAGGAAGGAGGAGGTGTCCACACCCAGAGGGTTTCTGACAGTCTGCAGTAAGAGGTGTCCATGTCCCAGAGTAATCCCGATGACCTGGAGGAAGAGCTCAAGCTCTCCACACTCCCAGAGGGCCCTGGCGGTCTGACTTGGGAAGTGTCCACACCCACACTGTCCTGACAGGAAAAAGAAGTATTCTCATCCCGGAGGGATCGGACAGTCTGGAAAAGGCCGGTCTACACCCAAGAGCACCCTGACAGTCTCGAAGAAATGTCCATATCAGTGTCCTCACATTCTGGAGGTGTCCAGACCTCAGAGGGACCCTAACGGTCTAGAGGAGAATGTTTCCTTACCCTGGAGGCAATTGATGGTCTGGAACAGGAGGTGTCCAGACTCTATAGGCCTCTGACAGTTCTAGAGGCTGCACAGAGCAGGAAGTGGCTCAGCCCCACAGTTCTGATATCCAGAGGAAAAGCTGTCTACCATGCAGGATCCTGACAGTTGAGGAGGTGGAAGAGTACATCCAACAGGCCGCCTCAGAGTCCCCTGGGCCTGATACTTTTCTGGCTTCTCTTCCTTAGTGTTTTTACTCTTCCACACTAGAAACATCAGGGTTTTCCAGGGACTATCACCCTTCCCACTCTCCACACATTCTCTCTGCACTCTTCTTGGCTTCCCTCTTGCCACGTCTGGTGACTTCCAGGCCCACTCCAGTACCCTCAGACCCATGGGTCCTCCTGATGGTGCCACAGGCCCCTGAACACTGCTAGAGACAACTCATCTTTTCGTATCCACCTCTGAAGAGGCAGCATAGCAAAGTGGTCAGGAGGGTGGACCCTGGAGCCTGCCCGCCTGAGCTTGAATCCCAGCTCCAGCACTCATTAGTCACGTGACCTGTGTCTCAGTTTCCTAATCTGTAAAATGGGAACCATAATAGCACCCACCTCCTACACTTGTTATAAGAATTTTGAATTTAATTTTTTTTTTTTTTTTTTTGAGAAAAGTCTCGCTTTTTTGCGGCTGTACTGAAGCAATCTCTGGCTGTTATAAGAATTAAATGAGTTTTTATGTGTGAAGCACTTTGAAAAAGCACTTGAGCAGTGTTCAGTATATAATCAGTTTTATATAAACATTAGCCAGTACGGTCCAAAATTCAGAAAATCCAAAATGCTCAGAAAACCAGAAGGTTTTGTAACCCACCTGGTTATAAGACCTGGCCTGGCCTGGTAGGGCCCTATTTATAGTCTTTATTTATCTTACTTGGGTTGAATATTCATAAATTTTGTTGCATAAATACTAATTTACTTGATTATGTGGTGCTGTCCCAGACACTATACCAGGGTGTTATGTAATTGAGGGCATATCCCCCTACCTGTACACCACTCGATTCTACAATTGGGACACCAACAACCTGACCTTCCCTCCTTTGTACCCTTCCACGTTTGGTCAGAACATTCACATTCCTGCAGAGCATTCCCACCCTTACCCAGCAGAGAATGCTAGCCTATTTTATCCATTCAAAAATGTGCACTTTGTTCCTATTTTAACATCTCTGAAATGAAGAGGAGTCTTAATTAATTTAATTAAATGATGATGTATCATTTAAATAATGGTAGTTTTTCCTTTGTTGGTAAAGGGCACATATAATAAGGGCGCAGCTTAGATTCTGACAAGATGCAGTACTCATAACCACTCCTAACATTGCTGAGTGTACTATCAAAAACAGAAACACCTTTCACATCCATGATCTCCTTGGTCTTTACAAGATTTTGTCACTGTCATTCCCATTCTACAGATGAGAAAACTGAGGACCAGCGAGGTATAGTAATTTGCTCAAAGATACAAAGCTAGTAAAGTAGGTAAAAAAAAAAATAAAGGCCCAAGTTTCTGAAACTGGTGCTTTGCCAGGTCTGGTGGCCTTTTTTTTAATTTGGCTGAGAAAACAGGTGCAGAAAGAGAACATTCATGATGACATATCCAGGAGGCAGAGAAGCAGCTGACTGCAAGTCTCCTAGTTCCTGTTTAAATCATCAGAACCCTTTCCAAGCTGCCAGCTTACAGCCTGTGTCTTCCACAGTCATTCTGGAGAACTGCTACGGAGGGGGTACATGGACCGATCTGTTCCCGAGTGGACCAACCATTACAGAGAAGGCACCAGGAGCCGTTTGTGCCCTGGAGGGATTATAGTAAGACTCACTCCTGGTGAGATTGGGAGAGCAGGTGGGGGCAAGACAGGCAGGAAAACAGAGACCAGGGAGGAGGTGGGCATTCCCACTAGCTTGAGGAGGGGCTACAATTAAAAAGATGGCTCAGACACCACCCAGAATGCCTGTGAGCCCAGGAGATGCTGCCCTTTGATCCCAGTGCTTAATTAGAGAGGCAGCCAGCTTCTGAGGTGGGGCGAGAACCCGGAGGCTTGGAAGGCTGCCTGGAGAAGCCGTTTGAGCCACAAGGAAGAATGCATGTTCTCCTGGAGTAGAGGGGGACTGATCTTGACATACTCCACCTCAAAACACTTCCGTGGCTCCTGTTGCATCCCTCAGGAGACAGTTCCCCTTCTTCAACCTGCTGTCAAAAGCCCTTTTATGAGCTATACTTACTTGCTTTAGAGGATATGTCTCTTTTCCATTCCCCCTCAAATCCTAAGCACTGTGTTTCCTGATCAACATCTTACACTGTGGGTGTCTGAGTCTGTCTTTATCACCAGACTGTGACCCCTGAGTGTGGGGACCAAGTCTGGTTCCTTTATGTCCCCCACCTAGCTGTGACTACTGAGAATGGTGACCAAGCCTGGACCCTGTGTCTCTCCCACCAGACTGTGAGCCCTGAGAGCTAAGACTAGGCGCAGGACAGGCCTCAATAGAAATCCACTGAATGAATGAGTCAACAAACAAAAATTGGGTGTGGGGAGCCAGCTTCCTCAAGGACTGGAGCTGGAACATGGGCAGTGAGTATGGCCCGAGGTGGGTAAATCTTGCTTTGCTCAAGGCATAGTTGGCACAGAGCACAGGCTGGAAGTGACTATGTAAGAGGCAGGGAGGAGACAGTGAGGATACCAGTGTGGCCATCCTGGCTAAGGGGACAGATTTGCAAGTCAGAAGAATGTGGTCACTGACCCACATGAGGGTGAGCAAGGAAGGAGGCCTGGGTGGGTCTCTGGAGAAGGGAGAGGGCAGGAAGGAGAGGTGTAGGGGAAGAGAGTGTTTGAGCTGCCTAGAGGACCACTACTTGGACAGAGTCAAGGTCACTAAGCCAGAAAGCAAAAGAAAAATCAATAGCAGTTCCTGTGTGTCTCCTGTGTGCTATGCACTTTGTGGCATTCGCCTCTGAGGGCCAGGCAGAGGTTGTAGGAGACCTAGGAGTGGACAGTGAGACTGGCCCTGGTCTAGGGTCCTCTGAGGCTGAGGAGGGGGCAGTCTTGGGTACAGGGGGACACTCACCCAGGGAAGGTCATGGCAACTACACTTGGGCCAGAATGCTGTAGTCACTGGCCTCTGAAGGAAGAGAGGACATGGGGCCAGAGAGGATAGATTTATTGGCACAGGGTGGGGTGGAAGACCTATCAACAGCATTTGGGAGGCAAGGACAGGCTGAGGCCAGGATGATGCTACAGCTTCACATTTACTAGGACACATGGGGATCCGGCTGGGGAGGAAGGGTCTTGGGAGGAGATACCTGCTGCTGTCTTGAGTGCCAGTTGTCCACACTGTGGAGCAGTGTCGGGCTGAGGGAGGGTTTCTCTCATCTGCACTCCTGTCTCCTTTCATCTTTCCCCCCCTCTGTTGTTCTGTCTCTGAAGTTTTTGTCCTCGGCCTCTTTCTTGCCCTCTCAGACTTAGGGCTCTTGGTCTTTTCTCTGGACCTGAGTCTCCCATTACAAGAGTCTATCCACGCTTTTAACTCTTGTCTCTACAGGTCTCTTCCCCCTTGTTCTCTGTGGCTTCCTTAATGTCTGCACAGCCTGAGCCACTCTAGCTGTCTTGTGCTGGGTTCCCCGTTGGCTCAGGCTCCCTTGCCCTGGATCACTCAATGTCTCTCTTCCCAGTGTGTCCTGGGTGTCTTTCTCTCT